CCACAAGAACATTTTCAGTAGGCCCAAAACCATATTTCTCGGCAATGTCTCGAACCCAACTAGCATACTTAGATGCACCCAATTGTGCACAAGCTGAAATGAGACCAACCAACGTAATCTCATCGGTGCCCACACCAGCACCTTGCATTCTCTCAAAGCAATCCAACGCATCTCTTGGCCGGGCATTCTGGGCATAACCAGTAACCATTGCCGTCCACGCCACCATATCTTTCACAGGCAACCCCTCAAACAATTCCCTTGCTGATCCCATATCCCCAATCTTAGTATAAGCAACAATTAACTCGGTCCAAGAAACCACATCCCTATCAGGCATTTCATCAAACACCTTGCGCCCACAATCCAAAACACCGCACTTTACATACATATCAATCATGGTGTTGCCCACGTACAAATCCGCCGCAAACCCGCCAACCAAAATCGTCTGGGCATGTATCTGCCTACCCAAGTTCACGTCAAGCACATCCCCACAAGCCTTAAAGAGCGCCGAGAACGTAAACGACACGGGACCAGTCCCTGCTCTTCGCATACAGGTATAAAAATTCAGGGCCTCCGAAATGGGTCCCTGAACTGTGTACCCGCGAATCATAGCCGTCCAGAGAAATGGGTTCGGGTACTTGACCTGTAGGAAGACGAGGCGCGGATACGCGTCCACTGGGACGCCGAGCTTCGTGAGCGTGCGGACGAGCTTGGTGAGGACGTAGCAGCACTGGCTGAGGCCATGGCGGAGGAGGTGAGCATGAACCTCCTTGACTTGGCTGAGATTGGCGCAGCCATCTAGATCAGAGATGAGTTTGTGCTCCAAGAGCTTCCGCTTCTGCTGAAATTCGGAGAAGGGGATGAAGAATCTGGTTGGCTGTGGCTGGTGCTGGTGAAGCTGCTGAGGTAAAAGCTTGTGAATTGGGACTGTGGAGAATCGGCGAGAGAGATTTTGCATTGGACAATCCAAGTCCCTCTTGCTGCGCGCGGCTCAGAGAATGCATATGATTAAAGAGAAGGAGAAACTCCCGCTATACAAATTAAACGGTGCGTATCGGAATAACTCGAGGGAAAAGCAAAACGGTGCGTTTTGTTCCTCTCCAATCTCTACACTCTGTCCTCTTCGTCGCACAGTGACAGCATAACAGAACTCCTGAGCCCAAACTCCAAATTCCTCTGCCCTCCTTTAGACGACGTCGCATCAAGTCTCCTCCTTTCTTTTCTTAGAGAACTAGGTAGCTTCTCTGTCCTCTCTGGGTCTTTTCCAATATGATTATTGCTGTTTTGCTATATTTTTTTCCTTTCGTTTTGGAAATTTTGGAGGTAAAGTATTGGAGGCAGGAGGCTAATATCAAATTTTTGGGTTTCTCTTGTTTATGAAATTTGATGCTAGTTTCTTATGGATGTTGCATGATTGCTTCCTAACGGTTTAGAAAAGTTTGGGGCAGAATCTGATTAAATGATTGTTCTTGAAGACAATATTTATGATTTAGTTATCTTACATTGCGTTTGTGATTTCAAAATTTTAATTTAAAAGCTGTTTTAAGGAGACTTACTATTTTGATTTGATTGAAAACTGATATCCAGGATCATTCTCGACCTTCTGGTTTTAATATTTTTACTTGTAATCCCTACCAAACATATGGCTTACAATTTACATTTCGCTCTTCTGTTATGGACAAGCACTAAATATTTTGCTCTGTATGATTAGGCTGGTTGATTTAGCAAATGGATAGTGATTTTCAAAGCAAATCATTAGAAAAAAGTGACAAGGAAGCATTATTTGGAGAAAGTGATGAACTAAGAGTAGGGATGGAGGTTAGTGATGAATCTGAAGCTTACCAGCTCTGCAACACCTATGCCTTTAACAAAGGTTTTAGTATTCGCAAGGGGCATCTTCGAAGAGATTCGCAAAATAATGTCCGGCAACGAGAATTTTTGTGCTCGAAGGAAGGATTTCAAGTAGATGAAGACTTATGTGAAGCGAAGAAAGTGAGAAGGCTAGATACAAGAACAGGTTGCAAGGCTGTAATTCGATTCACCGTGGAAAATGGTATGTGGAAGCTCTCCTACATCAATCCAGTTCATAATCACGAGTTTGCTAAGCCTGAAGAGCGACAATTTCTAAGATCAGGTCGAAATATACCAAGTGTTCGTGCAAATATCCTTGGCTGTAAGAGTGATGGGAGTATAAGACCAGCAAAATCACATTCATACTTGGGAAAAGAGTTTGGCAGTGATGAGAATGATGGATCTACTAATAAAGATTTACCTAATTGTTTGCAAAGGAGTAAGGATGAAATGATAGAACAGAATGGACAAAGCTTGATAAATTATTTTAAGCATAAACAGATGGAGGATCCAAATTTTTTCTACAGTGTTCAAGTGGATCAATTTAGTCGAATCACAAATTATTTCTGGAGAGATGGTAGATCAAAGTTGGATTATGATTGCTTTGGAGATGTTGTATGTTTTGAAACTACGTTTCGAACCAACAGCAATCTAGTTTGTAGTCCATTTTTGGGAGTCAATCACCATTGGAAGAATATCTCATTTGGTTGTGCTTTTTTATTGGACGAGAGTGCTGGTTCATTTATTTGGTTGTTTGAAACATTTTTGGAGTCGATGGGAAATAAACAGCCAAAAACCATTTTCACGGATGAGGATAAAGCAATGGAAAAGGCAAAGGCAATTGAGACTGTGTTCCCAGAGACACGGCATCGGTTATGCAATTGGCAGATCTCCAAGAATGCTACACAGCATCTGGCTAGTCATTGTGCTGATCCTGAATTCAAGAAGCACTTCAACAAATGCGTCCTTGATTGTTTTACTGAAGTAGAATTTCAAAATTCCTGGGATGACATGATTAAAATGTTCAACCTTGAAAGCAATTCGTGGCTGAAGATGTTGTATTCATTTCGAGAGAAATGGTGTCCTGCATTTAGCCTAGATACTTTCTCAGCAAATATTGGATCAAGTCAGAGGGGTGAGAACACAAACGCAATTTTCCATCAAGTTTCTAGAAAAACAGTGGATCTCGTTAGTTTTGTACAGCATTATGAGCAAAAAACAAAAAAGATGCAATTCACAGAGTTGGAAGAGGATTTTCGTTGTAAAAATGCTATGCCTCATCTTAGAGTAAATAGTGGTATCTTTAAGCATGCAGCTACTGAGTACACTGTCAAAATGTATTCATTCTTTGAAAATGAGCTTATGAGTATTTTTGGGGTGAGGATGGTAGAAGTTGGTAACGATGGCAATCAATATATTTATGAAGCAATTGAAGAAGGTCTTCAAAGAGTCTACATGATTCAATACAACTCTACTACGTCCATGATTTCTTGTTCATGTAAGTTATTTGAATCCATGGGGTTGTTGTGCCGTCATGCCCTAAAAGTACTGGATTTTAAAAACTATACAAGCATACCGACACAATACATAGTGAAGAGATGGACTAAAGGGGCAAAGAAAGGGATTGTGGTGAGTAATGAGTTCTGTAAGTCATCATATAGAAAGGCCAAGTCTGCCCAATCGCTGCGCCTAAGTGAGTTGATGCATGAAGGAAATAATGTTTTCAATATAGGCTCGTTGTGTGATTCAGGAACGAGGATTGTCAGACAAAAGTTAGCGGAGACCATAAAGTTACTGGAAAGTGATGAGGAAACTACCAACATGCTGGGAAGTTTGAGCAAAGTAGACGACCAATCTGTTCGTGATGTGCTTCTTGATAATGGAAGTGTGGAATCCCCCAGTTGTGATGGCTAAAGGACAAATGCTATATTGAAAAGTATATGTTCAGGGTATTGCTTACTTTTGTTCTGAAAATTGCACTTCATTGCGTAAGATGTTCAGAAATGAAAGGTTAGAGTATCTTTTTCTTCTTTGGCAGAAGCCAGCATTGTACATCCTTTTCTTTTTCAAGTAAATCTGTATTGATATTTCTGATAATATAGTGGAGGATAGTTGATAAAGTATATGGAGTTCTGTATTGATATTGATGTAAGTATATTTTTCGTAATTTCATCTCTTGAATATTCACTAGACAATAGACTATACAAAACAGGTGAACTGTCTCAGTATCATCTCTGGGGTCATCTTCGATATCATCAACGAGCATGATCCTCCTCTCAGTATTGCTGAAACCTGGGGTCGCATTAGGTAATTGGATTCCCATTTAAAAGTGCTCATTTACTATTTCAAACTGAATTCATTTTTCGATCTGTAACTTTGTACATGTTTGATGTAATTACCGTGTATGGATTGGCTGAATAAATGTCTAGGTCATTTTCATGAAGTTGGTTTGAGAGGATTAAGGAGCAGAAGTCACATGAAGATAGTGTGGAGGTGGATGAGGAGGCAGAAGCTTAGACTAATATTCAACCACGTAGGGTCTCAGAAGCAGTTTCTGGTTCTGGGTATGACTTGGTTTACAGAGCCCAACTTCAAGCAGCAGGCTAAACCAGTAAATGATTATCCACAACACAAGTCCCCTTGAAGTCTGAATTACTAGCTAAGAAGCTTTGCTCTGCATTATCAAACTTTGAATTGTTTTGCTGTAACACCTATAATGTAAAAAACCAGGGCTTAAGTGATCAGTTCTAATTCTCTCCCTTTCCAGTATGTCAATGATTCTCATATAGCATTATCCTACAAAAGTATACTTTTTTTAGTAAGGCAGGGGTAATTGTAGCAAAATAAATTCACCAAAACCCCTCCACCAGTAAAAACTGCTAATTTTATTTTTTTTCCTACAATCCATAGTGATAGTGGGAGAGGGGGAAATCAAACTAAGGATATCGAATTGAGTGCATAGATAAATCCTCTTAATCACTTGGGTCCTTAACCAATTGGGGCCGTAAAATTATTAGTAAAAATTACTCATGAGTTTGTGGGAACCCACCATAAAAGAGAACGAACAACTAAAACATAAGCCGAAACGCAGCGTTTCGTTCGTCTCTAATCTCTTTCTATGGACTCTATTGTCTTCGAACAGCGAGCCAGAGACAGCATCACAGCACCTCAGCTCTCTCTCAGTCCTCAGTCAGTCCAAACTCCAAAGCCTCTTCTCTATTCTCTTCTTCACCGATAACCCAAATTCCCCCCGTTGCAGCTCGCAGGCCTCCTTCGAACGGCGACGTATCAAGTCTCTTTCTCTTCTCTTGTTTCTCGGCGAACCAGGTACCTCCTCTGTGGTCCTGGCTCATATGATCATTGATGCATTCCTGTTTCCTTTTTATTTTTCAAAATTGTGGGAATTGGAGTTCTGGTGGAATGAGATGTGCGAATTTATGGTATTTCGTTTATGAAGCTCGATGCTTTATTTTTTATTTTTATGGATATAGGATGATAAATTCGTAGAAAGAGACTTCTAATGGCTTAGAAAATTTGGGGTGACTTACATTGCCCTAGTGATTGATCTTGGTTCTGTTTTCAATTTTAATTTTTTTAGAATTTTTTTTAGCTGAAGTTGTGAACTTTGCTCGCTCTATTTGGTTAAAAAAACAATATGGACGGAATAAAATCACCAGGGTTGTATTTGGATTTGTGGATTCAAAATGGGGGCGTATAAATTAGGGTTTTTGGTTTAGATAATTAATAGGTTGAGCCTAATATGCTGTCACGTAATTTTTTTGTTTGCAAATAGATAGACAAACTTTTATTTGCAACGTATCTGTTACATTTTGGATTTTACTATCTGTCAATACAAGTACTGAAAAATGTGTTGTTTATGATTAGGCAGTTGGTTTAGATAATGGATTACACTTGTCAAGGGAAAATATTAGAGAGAAGTGACAAGGAAGAAATATTTGACGCAATTGATGAACTAAAAGTGGGAATGGAGGTGTCTAATGAAGCTGAAGCTTACAATCTATGCAACACCTATGCCTTTAGGAAAGGTTTTAGTATCCGTAAAGGGAATATTCGAAGAGATGCGCAAAATAAAGTCAGGCAAAGGGACTATTTTTGTTCAAAAGAAGGGTTTCAATCGGATGAAGATTTGTGTGAAGTGAAAAAGATGAGAAGATTAGACACAAGAACAGGTTGTAAGGCTCTAATTCGATTCACAGTGGATAATGGTATATGGAAGATCAGTCACATCAATCTAGATCATAATCATGAGTTTGCTAAGCCTGAAGAAAGACAATTTCTACGATCAGGTCGACATATACCATGTGTCCGTGCAGCTATCCTTGGCCCTAAGGTTGATGAGAGTACAAGACCAACAAAATCATACCCTTACTTGGGAAAAAAGTTTGGCAATGCTGAGAATGTTGGGTCCACTAATAAAGATTGTCATAATTATTTGCAAAGGAATAAGGAAGAAATGCTAGAAGGAGGGGATGGGCAAAGTTTGATAAATTATTTTAAGCATAAACAAATGGAGGATCCAAGTTTTTTCTACAGTGTTCAAGTGGATCAATATAATCGGATCACAAATTATTTTTGGAGAGACGGTAGATCAAGGTTAGATTATGATTGCTTTGGAGATGTTGTATGCTTTGACACCACATTTCGGACCAAGAAATATAATCTAATTTGTGCTCCATTTGTGGGTGTTAATCATCACTGCAAGAATGTCTTATTTGGTTGTGCTTTTGTATCGGATGAGAGCACTGACTCATTTGTTTGGTTGTTTGAAACATTTTTGGAGTCCATGGGATATAAGCAACCGAAAACCATTTTCACAGATGTGGGTGATGCAATGGCAAATGCAATTGCGGTTATGCTTCGAGAGACACGCCATCGCCTATGCATATGGCACATATCTAAGAATGCTACACAATATATTGGATCTCATTATTCTAATCACGAGTTCAAGGAGCACTTTAACAAATGCTTTCATGATTGTCTCACTGAAGCAGAATTTGAAGCTACGTGGAATGACTTGATTAGAAAGTTCAACCTTGAGAACAATTCGTGGCTGCAAGAGTTAAATTCACTTAGAGAAAAATGGTGTCCTGCTTTTAGCTTAGACACTTTTACAGCCAATTTTAGATCCTCCAATAGAGGTGAGAGCATAACCAGTACATTCCATCAAATTTCTACGAAAACAATGGATCTCATTGGTCTTGTACAGCATTATGAGAAAAAAACAAAAGTGGTGCGGTCAGCAGAGTTGGAAGAGGACTTTCGTTGTAAAAATGGTATGCCTCATCTTAGAGCAAATAGTGGTATCTTTAAGCATGCAGCTTCTGAATACACAATTAAAATGTATTCATTCTTTGAAAATGAGCTTATGAGTATCTTTGGGGTGAGGATGATAGAAGTTGGTAATGATGGCAACCAATATATTTATGAAGCAATTGAAGAAGGTCATCCAAGAGTCTACATTATTGAATATAACTCCGCTACTTCCATGGTTTCTTGTTCTTGTAAGTTATTTGAATCCATAGGATTGTTGTGCCGTCATGCCCTAAAAGTATTGGATTTAAAAAACTTCACAAGCATTCCGACCCGGTACATAGTGAAGAGATGGACTAAAGGGGCAAAGAAAAGGATTGTGGAGAGTAGTGATTTATATGAGTCGTCATATAAAATGGGGAAGTCTGCCCAATCATTGCGCCTAAGTGAGTTGATGCATGAAGGAAATAATGTTTTCAGTATAGGCTCATTGTGTGATTCAGGAACGAGAATTGTTAAACAGAAGTTGGTGGAGGCCATGAAGTTGCTTGAAAGTGATGAGGAAACTACATCTATGCAGGGAAATTTGAACAAAGTAGATGATCAATTTGTTCGTGATGTGCTTCTTGATAACTGAAGGTATTGAATCTCCTACTTGCGAGGGCCAAACAAATCGAATGCTAGATTGAAAAGCAATGAAAAAACAGGAGAATGTAAAATTGTACTTTGTTGTGTAAGGTTTCGGAACATGGTTTTGTTTCTTCCTTTTTTCTTTTTTGGGTCTATTTAGGTTGAAGCTGTCATTGTACATATTTTCGTTTCAGGTGACAGCTCCCATATGTTAGAAAGATTCTGTTATTGTGCTCCTTATATGTATGTGCTTTGTATTCGAGTTTGTTAACTTTGGTCAGTTTGGGATGAATTTAAGTACCATATCCTTTTGGTCTATGATATTTTGTGGTTCTTTCTTCTTATAGTTTAGTTCATGTGCATCTTGTGATCTTGTCTTTTTTTTGGAAAAGAGTTGCTTTCTTGGCATACTTTGTGCAACTCCATTATAAAGAGGAAACATGAGTTCTGTATTCATTTTGTCATCTGGGTGCTGAAGATGCTTGGGACAATACAAAACAGGTGCATTGTCTCTATATAATCGTAATAAACTTTTGAATAATGATTTATGGAGGAGATTAGTTCTCCACGACCAAAGAAATTAAACAAAATTTAAAAATACCGGGTATTGCCGCGCAGCCATACTATTTTAAAAAAGGACCCCAGCTATTAGGCGCCACGTGTCAAAATATGTCTGACCGCGCGGCTCTACTATTTTTTTTTTTTAAAAGGACCCAGTAGCGATTAGGTGCCATGTGTAAAAATACGCACGGCTGCATGGAGCCCAGGCGCCCAGGTGAAAAACACGTATAGCCGCGCGGCTATACGATTTTAAAAAAAATTGAAACACCGGGTATAGCCGAGCGGCGGTACTATTTTAAAAAATAAAAGACCACAGCGATTAGGCGCCACGTGTAAAACAAATATAGCCGCGCGGCGATACTATTTTTAAAAAATTAAAAAGCCAAGTATAGCCGCGCGGCTGTACTAAAAAGCCTTAGTCGCCACGTGTCAAACAATTATAGCCGCGCGGCTATACTAAAAATAGCCTTTAGTCGCCACGTGTCAAACAAATAGCCCAGCGGTGAGACTTTTTCAGTAGAGCCGCACGGCTATACGTTTAAATATAATTTATTTAAATAGTATAGCCGGCCGGCGATACTATTTAATGAAACATTTGAATAATGAATTTTGGAGGAGATTAGTTGTCCATGACCAAAGAAATGGTTCAAATCCTAATTAAATGAATTGCTAATCTCAACAACCCAGACAACTCAAACCCATTGAATTGCTAATCAAGCCCTTGGAGTTAGCTCAAGTGGTGAAGATCGATGCGGAAATGGGTTAGGGTTAGACAAGGTCAAGGTTGGATTCTTCCGTTCTAACCCGAAAAATAAACTATGAGCTCGACAAAATGATTTTTGGTTATTAAAAAGAACTAAATAAGTTTAAGGCTTTTTAAACCCACCCAAATGTTAGCGCTCTTGATAAACATTTTGCTTTGTTAGGTGGTAGGGGTGTATCTTTATAGCAAACTGAGATTTGGGTTTTGGAAAACAGAAAGTGGCAACATGTTTGGGACAGCGATAAGGTGTATTGCGAGGAAACCAAAACCGCAGATGAAACCCATAGAGCTCAAAACCCCACCTGAGCAGACGCAGACCATCACTAGGGCCATCTTCGATATCGTCAAGGAGCATGGTCCTCTCACCATTGCTGAAACCTGGGATCACGTTAAGGTGATTTGACTGCTGCTATTGTAATGATGTTCTTCATTTTTGGTGTAGTTAGGTATTGCGTACTAAGTGTTTGATTAAATGTCTGAGTCGTTTTCAGGAAGTTGGGTTGAGAGGATTGACGAGCAAGAGGCACATGAAGATAGTGTTGAGGTGGATGAGGGAGAGGCAGAAGCTTAGACTAATTTGCAACCATGTAGGCCCTCAGAAGCAGTTTCTGTATACGACTTGGTTTACAAAGCCCAACCTCAAGCAGCAGGGAAAACCAGTAAATGATTCTCCACAACCCAAGTCTCCTTGAAGCCTGTGGATTATTAGCTAAGAATATTGCTCTACCGTTATCAAACTTTGAGTTGTTGTGCTACATCCATCAATGTAAAACTAGAAGCTAAAGGGCTAAGTTGTAATGGGTCTCTCTTTCCTGTCAGTGATTCATATTTAGTTAATGGTTTGGAGACTGCTGAGACTGCTCGAGCTCGATAAGTCCCCCATTTTCGTAGTTCAAGGTGAATGGACGATGCCGAATTACAACAAATAAAAACCAACTTTTGTTCTGGATGTTCTTTTTTAAAAAATTTACCAAATAAAACGGGCAGAGACCTGAAAGGGCAGTCACGCATGCACGAGTGGGCAATCTCCTCCAGCTGTTGATGCAATCTGGGACTCATGCATCAACGATTGGAAGTCGTCCACTCACAACTAACTGGCAAATCACCATCCCCGACCATAAAAATATGCTAATGGTATAAATGCATCAAGGAAATCCATAACAAGAGAGTTTGCGCGTATTCAGTAAGTTACAAGCTTACAGCACACATCTCCTTATATGATTATGAATGATGCTGTGTTTTTACCTTATCCACCAAGCATTCTGAAATGCCAAATTTTCAAATCCATGCTCTAGCAAAATCGATCATGTCATTGTCAACCTTTTGAACAAGCTACTAGCTAGATGTCTTAATATGTACACAATGTACATAAGAAAGCGAAACCTGAGGGGCGATTATGTCACCATAAAAGAAAAATCGACCCACTAATCTAAGTGTAGTTCATCTTCTTTTGCTAACCAACGAAATCTCTAAAACAGGAGAAGAGAGCATGTGTAGCATTCTACTTGACAGTTAAAGGCCTCAAAGTGCTAGGAATCTGAGTGGCTCTTTGACTTGTGCAACACTTCCTTCAAAACGGCAGCAATTCTATTTGCCATATGGTGTTCTAGAAACCTTTCTTTGACCCTTTCGTAGCCTCTCTTCCCCATTGTAAGCCTCCTCTCAACATGAGTGGCAAGTTTTACAATATTTTTCGCAAGAGGAGTGATCCCTTCCTTCCCAACAGGATGCAACAAACCTGTTGTTCCATTCACTACAATCTCTGTGGTGCCACCTGCTGCTGTTCCCTGAAATAAATATTTGATTTGGAAATTAGAAAAATGGCAATGGGAACGGGTCAATAGGATTAGCAGTCGCAGCATGAGTTACAAGATATTACGCAAAATAACAAGAGGAATGTTCTTTACCAATACAGGCAGCTGAAATGCCATGGCTTCAATAGTTATCCTACCAAAGCATTCTCCCCGTGCCTATGGAAGGGTTTAAAAAAAATTAGAAGATGAAAAAGGACTATATTAATTAGATTTATGTAGTTTCAACCACATTAGGGTCAGACTTGCTGGGAAAGACATTAATATCAATGCCTAAGTATGATTACTGTTACGCTAACTGGAAATTTATTCACATTGAAAACTATGGTTTCACATCCTATATGTATCATGTGTTCTTCTATCTGCAACTTTTTCTATAAATAAGATATTAAAAAAAAAACATTTAATAAGAAAAAAATCTTTCTAATACCTGGGAATTTTGAACAAGGACATCAATTGCAGCCAGATATGGAGCTACAGTCAGAGTTTTGTCTACAAAATGAACACGATCTTGAATTTTCTTCATCGATACAAAGTTACGTAGTTCATGCTCAAACTTGGTGTGAGCAGTCATGTCACTCCCTACAATTACTGCATGCATTCTTGGCAGTTGCAGCTTCTTCACTTGGATCAATCGCAAGCTTTCATAGAAGGAACGCAAAAACAGATCTTGGCCTTTTCCACGTGAAACACCTGTAGTCATGAGGTGTACTTCAGTGTTCACAAGGTATGCACAAACTAAACATAAGACTCTTTTTTATTTTTCATTTCCTAACGGCAATTTAAATGGAAATTAGTAGACTTCCATCAAATAGTTTGAAATACTTACTGTTTATGATGGCAAATAGTAGATCTTCTCTTCGCACTCCAAGAGACTCCCGGACATGCTCACGCAAAACCCTTTTTGCTACACTATCTTCAGCAACTTCCATTAGTTCCTTGCTGTTTCCAAGGTGAACAACAAAGGTCTCTGGCATTTTGATACTGCAGAGAGCAAATGAGTGGAAATAGTAGACCAAAATTTGATATAAAAAAGAAAAAGAGTCAATATTTGAAGCCTACCCCAAACGTTCTCGAGTCCTATTCTCCCAATATTCTGCTGTTACATGCGAATCTATCATAGAACCTGCAACAAGCGGGAGGTGCTTGACATAATTCAATTTGAAGTAATGGCCGCGCATTTCATGGATCCACCACAACACTTTCGGGAGAACACGGGGAACATTTTCCTTAAGAACAACATCCAACCATTTCCCAGAAACTGCGGTGTTCAATACAACCAAATCAGCTTTGAGAGCTGTATTCACAGCTTCTTGGCCATTTTCAGAGAGGACCTGCAGATGTATAAAAGCATTATTAGAAACGTGCTGAGAAGTTACAGAGAAATCAAACCTATCAGAAACAGGAAATATCACGTAGAAGACCAAAGCCAGACAAGGCCATAATTTAGATAAAATCAAATTGGAAGATTGGTTTACTTCGCTAGTTTCCTTAACAAGTGGCCAGCGGTGTGAACAAAACAATGCTTCCGAGATCAAGAAATATTGAGATGATAAAGATAACTATGTAACGCATAGACAACTAGACTGCAAAAGAAGACATTCACAATAACTTTTGAAAATAAATTAAGATTTTGTACCTGCACCCCTCGGTCCAACATCTTATGTTCCAAACTGTATATCACTACATCTGCATCTGACGGTTTCATGGTTGTAACCCAACAAACTTCAGTGCCAACACCTCTTAATAAAAATGCTAGCTCCATCAACAACAAAGGTCCACCTGGAAGAATGTTCAATATGTCATACCATCAGTAGAGTTTGTAAGATGTACGTAAAGAAAAACAATGCAGCTCTTTTCATTTAAAAAAAGAAAAAAAATAATTAGGAGAAAGGGGTTTAGGAAAATATGATCCAAAATAGAGAGAAATAAAGAGCATAAATTGATTGGATAAAATACATCTTCAGCCAAATATTTGGTTAAGGAAGGCGATAAGCTTTCATGAGTTATGCTAGCCTAGAAAAAACCAATGTACATACGATTCCATGTTATTTCAGTATGCCAATGAATATAAGTAAATATAACAGAAGGAACATATGCACATTACTGAATGTTGGTCTGTTGATGCCTGTCAGAATATTCATCCAATATGAACACTACTGAATGTTGGTCTGTGTACTACAAAATGTATGGAAATATTCCTCATTTACATGATATTACATTAAATGCAGTAAGTTAGTGTCGAAGACACAAAAACAAGTGTATCCCAATAAATAGGCAAATATTCAAAAGACAACAGAAATTTCATGTCAAGCAGTTACACATTGCTGAGAAATTCCAGAATTTTTTTTAATTTTTTTTGGTTCTCACCAAGAGCACACATCAGTACATAACTTATTTTTGGGCCTATTGGCCTCTGAACAACACAGAAATGGACCAATAATTATACGCCCCGGCCTATTAAGTTAATTTACGCAAGTTACAAATGAATGTACAAATAGCACAACATGGATGCCCTTTTATAAGAACCAACAATACCAGAGAAAATAAGGTACTACATTCCATAATATTGACATCACATAATTCCCTAATGAAATCATCTTTAAACTCAAACAAAATGGAAGGACATGCAAATGCACCAACCCACGTTTCCCTAGTTTTTCACAGACAAATTAAACTCAACGAGATTAGAAAAAAAGAAAAAGAAAGCATTAGCACACTAGGGAACAAACTAGCTTTCACATCCTTCATCTCCATAAATACCAGATTAAAAAGCCAAAGCTAAGGGTGACTGGTGAGAAGGCACAAGAGCTTATTGTTGAATGCGTTTTAAAAATCCATCCCATATTTGGAAACCCAGTAGCTCAAAAATTTATTACATATGAGTGTCTTTGCCATCTTAAGTAGCTAACTTTCTGTGTACGTATAATCTAAGTCATCAAAAGCTTAACATAATTAATCACACCACTAATAGCTGAAATTGCAATCAATAACTTGAAGCACAATGAAACATCAACAATGCATTAAATTCATCAAATTAGCAATAAAATAATGGAGACAGAGACAGCACCCGAAAGAGAGAGCTCGTGCGAGACTAACAGCACGAGCTTGGACTTCATGAAGCTGAGGGGGCTAGGACTGGTCCCAATGGGCGAGCCCAAAGGAACCCTCTTGTCGACGACATCCATGCGACGGTCGCAGGAATCGAAGGCGGCTCTGATGAAGAAGGCGATCAAGGTGGAGACGGAGAGCATGACGAGAAAGGCCAAGAGCCAGCGCTTCTGCGACGCGACCCACCCGACGGAGTGCTTGGCCATCTCTAGGGTTGGGAGAGTCGGCGAGGTCCGTTACTGCGAGTCTCAGCGGCATAATTCTAGGGTTTGGACTTTTGACTGCGACCGGTGGGTTTGGTACATTTGGCTTTCTGTGATTGAAGACACTTGTAAATAATAATAAATGAAAAGGCTTTTCGATTTCGAAGGCAGCTGTGTGGCTGGCTTTGGCGTTGAAAGCTTCAAATGTTGGTGATATTAATGGCGGATTCTGAAGCTCGTTGCTCTGCTATTTGTGTTGTTCAGAGAAACGGAGCACGGAGCTCAAGTTGAGGGGAGAGAGTTGCTTTCTTCTCCGTCTTTGGCTCCTTTTTGGCATTACCAATACTTTCTGCCTTTTTCGGTTTTTGGTTTTTAATTTTTTAATATTTCTTCTTTTGCTTTTTTGTTTAGGAATTAGGAAGAATGCAAATGCCATTTTGGAAAATCTTTTTCTTTTTGGTTTTCTCTTTCCTTTTCCCCTTTTCTTCCCATTTTTAAACACTTGTTTGCTGTCGTCAAATTTCCCTTTCTCTTTTCTTCTTTTACTTTTGAAAACAAACTCTTTTTCTTTTTAAAAAGTCATCATGAACTTATCCAAGTGTAATTTTGTATCTTTATAACGAGAGGGTTTAACAACTATATGATTGTTTTAATCTCATAGACAAACTTCAAGCACACTCAAACCGACCCTCATTTTAGTGACGGATTGGATATGTACAAGCATAATCCATTTCCTATTTGCATACAACAGAATTAGAATAAGGAATTGGTTCATATACTTATTATTTAATTTCCTAGCTTAGGCTACCACATCTCGAGTATTAAATTAAATTATTTGTTGATTATCAATCAATCATGTAAACCTCATGTTTTGTTGGTCCATTTTTTAATTTTGACTTATGTCCCCAAAATACGTCAATATCATCCTAATCGCATTAAATTAATTTTAATTTTATAATTTATATTCGGGACATAAATTAAATCAAAACCACAATAACAGGGGTTCGAAACCTGTTGAAAGCGTTTTGTGGTCAAAGATAAGCTGAACCTCGAGCCGTGATTACTCCCACCATCCGGATGGGGGACACCTTGTGGTATTTAATATAAAAAAAATCAATATAAATAATGGGCCCCATTATTTATTACATGAAAATTGTCTCGCGGGACAACAGAGAAAAGACCCAGAATCTCACAGCGGTCGCGACCCAACAGTGGACGAGAGTGGCCTTCTTTCTTCTTCACTAGGCGCCGGTAGACTAACAGACAGTACATGCCAAGCAATGCGGAGCCTACGACGCCGTTTCCACATTCATTCTTCTTCTTCTTCTTCACATCGCATTTTGTTTGCACTACTTACAGGTTCGTTCCCATTCCTTCATGTTTTCGATAATCAACAGCAGCCTTTACATATCGTCATTTATGAATAAACAAAGGTTTCAATTACGAATATATATATATATATATTTTTTTTTTGTTTCAGTTCTTGTATCACAGGCGCTTCAAGCAGCCTCGCTCGTGGCGCCGAGATCCAATTGCTACGCTTTCGATAACTCTAGCCGCGTCGTCGATTTTGTATCCTTACGCAAACAATTACTGTGGCTTGTTAATTAGTATGATTTCACAATAATAATAGCAATGCTTAATGCTCAGTTTGGGTTTGATTTTGTGTGAAATTTGTTCTCTCTTAAGCTGTTAACCAGAGTAGCTGGATTGGACATCCGTTTGAGTACGACGGGAAGGTAATTTCAATTTCAATTCTGTTACGGTGATAATTGAAATTATGGTGCACATATGTTATGAATTTTAATAGTTCTGTAAAATTTCATAATTAGCTCAGTTCATACTCAGATTCCAGAGGTATCGCTTACTCATAAGTTTGTTTGGGATGATACAGGACTCCGACTTGGTGCTTCGATTTTGCAAAGATGTGGAGAGTAGATCACAAACGGTAGTCCATATCACCATGATCTCAAGTACTTTACCATTTGCTTTTATTTTTATTTTTCAATATTTGATTTTTATGTTCATTAATTTAATGAGCCTGTATTGGAAAGTTCGTATGTATATAAGCCATTCAGTAGTATTTCATGTAAAGCTCCTGTATATGCTTATTCTATTAGCTTCGTTGCTGCATTGGCTGTTAAGTTGCCACATTAATAACATATGAGTAAATTTCAGTTTGTGTTCGATTAGGTGTTTTTGTTTGAATTTGCTCATTTTCATGCAGGGATATGTAGATTTTGGTCGATTTGATAAGTTCAACTACTTTGTTTCTGGTTCAGGACAGGTTGACTTTGTTCAAGTGAGCTTCCTTTTTTTTTTTTGGTTGAAAATGATACTACAGTTCGGTTTCTTTCATGTAATAGGAAAATGCAGTTGTCATATTTATCTCTATTTCTGAATGTATATAGGGGTTTTATAATGGCGACCTGGCGAATTGTGAGCACAGTTATGATAAATTGGGACGAACAGCTCAGGTTGTTTTATGCTGGAAAACTTCCACCCTCTAGCACCCTTATTTCTTTCTCCTGGAAGTTTTCATATATATATATATATATTAAATATTTGGCAATCACTGTCATTCCATTTCTCTCATAATTCTTTTTTTATCTTCTTTAAATTCAGGTAAACATCATATGTGGAAGTTGTTTAAATGGCCAATGCACAGGTTTGTGTACCTTTCACTTCTAAGTTATATGTGCAGTCACCATTTATACTAGGAATTGATATGCCCCCTTTTGAACTCTGTCTTTGGTTGAATGGACAGCAGATAATATAAGAAAATTCTATGGAGACCATTAACAAATTGGAACCGTTGCGATTAAAGGGGCCACTTGTTAGTAAGGTGGTGAGAATAATAAGTTTAGGTGGAGAAGGCGATGAGTTTCAGGAATAAGATTTAAGATATGACTAGGTCACTAGAAGAATTTTTGCAAACTGTTTCATCAAGAAAGATAACGCACTAGAGAGGGAGAGGAAGAGAGAAAGCGGAAAGAGGAAACTACAAGTAACTCTGATATTTCATACCTAATTAGAACACTGATAGAAGGTCTCATTAGAATTTTATTCCACTTGATTGTATTTGATTCTTATTCAATCGGCAGGAACAAAATTAGGTGTATAAACTTATTTTGCTTGCTTCATCCTGTTTTCTATCAAAAACTACTTACAATTTTTTTCCTCCTCAAGTTACATCTCTACCATTAATATTGTACTGCCTCTGACTCTGTCATTTTCAGTAATCTAAGACTGATTCTTACTATTGTTTGTTTTCAGGTGGACTTGGATGCATCTGCAATGTCACTTATGAGTCGAGTTGCAGGTCTTTTGAATAGTGCCTTGATTTCCACTTTATGTTGCATTATAATGAAATGTGGTGTTAAATCTCTGTTAATTGAGTGAATCATTGCATGCTGGTGTTGGGATAACAGAAATGTTTCAATATAGGAGCCTTCATTTATTATGAGACACTCATGTTTCCCTGATTCTGTTGCAATTCCTAAATGTTTCAGAGTTTTTCTCGAACTAGCTATTCCATGCGAGAAACCAGGTCCACGAGTATTTAAGGGCTTCACTGTAGGTTTCCATCCACGGTCATGGGAACTTGTAAGAATTGTTTTATTCTCCCTGATGTATATTAGTTTTCCCAGGCAAAAGTAAATTATTTGCTGAACTTGCAGGTTTATGATGGCATGACTCAATTGGGCTATGAAAAGTCTCACCATGAGTTTAGGTATAGGAATTATTAAGAGCTGTTTTGCTTCATTTAACATCCCTTTCCCCTAACCCAAAAAAGAAAATGTAGTATCCATCAATCTAAATAAAGTTTGCATTTTGCAGCTTTGGGACTGAGCAGACACATGTAACGCTTTATATGACTGCAATTGCTTCCCTTTCCACTTTGGTGCAAAGACCTATTATTAAGGTACTTGAATTCCTTATACCTTGATGCATGGGAAACCATTTATCATTGAATAAGTTGGTCCAAGTATGTATCCTTTGTTTAATAAAATATTTGCAGGTCTTACCAGAAAATGGTCTGGAGGTTAAGGTATCAGGGTCGGGAGCAACTGGGAGCCCTCCTACAACTTTGTCACCCACAATGTTAAATGTTGATTGGAGATGTAAGGGTATCCTTTGCTGCAGTGGGCTTTGATATCCGTTACAATGAAGTCTTCTTAGTTTCTTTTTGTAATTTTCAGGTGAAAAGGCTCGTGATACTCCATATGAAGTTAATATCACTATCCCAGTAGAGGGTTACGAGCCCATCCAGTTTTTTCTTGCCAAACTGTGTGGTAGGCTCATACTGCCGTCACTGTTAACTACTGCCTTCCCTCTCAATCCTTACTCTTCTGAAAATCCCTGTTTCAAATTATGGAGAGACTTAACCAATCTTAATAGAACAAGTTCTGAAGATGCAATGTAGTACTTCATATTAAAGCTATCCTTCTTGCACTAGAACTTGCTGGTGAAACATGATTGGACTGTGTTCACTGTCTACCAATTAGGAATGAGTCCCTCAATAATGTCATCACTCTCAGAAATTATTACATTCAAGTTAAATGGCCAAAAAGGGAAAGTGGAGACAAGGGGTAAATTTGTTGGAATTGAAAACACTAATGGTTTGAAATAATATCAACTGAAAGAGCTTGGTTCGTTCAATTTTGCAGAAAACAGGCAGAACCAAAATGGAGACAGTGCACGAGGATGGGCTATATTTGGGGTGTTATCCTGCATGTAAGGCAGTTCCTACTGAAAATTATAGTATTGATAAATTGTAGGAATTATGTATTATGTATTTTATCTGAAGTTTGATTTTTCAATGAACTGTCTTGGATCAGATTCACTGTCTCATCGACCCTGTTTTGCTATGGAGGATTTATTTACAAGACTCAAGTTGAAAGGAAGGTAGGCCCTTTTCTATGGCTTCAAAGTCTTGGATGGTTTACGAATTTGCAGCTTTTCATCATGGTCTCAATTTGTATGTCCTCAATTATATATTTCTATTTGATCACATGCAGCGTGGGATTGATGCATTGCCGGGAATGACAATTCTATCCGCTTGTTTAGAAACTGTAAGTATACATCACTAACACAAATATTCCTTGTATTCCTTTGGCCCATTTTCCATGAGGCTCAAATTCTTTGGGACAAAAAAACCCTGCAAGATGCTTCAGTTTTAAATTGAAAAGAAACCTTGCAAAGCAAGGGAACTGAGTTATGAAGCAAATAGGAATACTATTTGCCACGTCCTCTATAGACTTTCTAATGGTGTTGAATGTGGGGGGGTACAAAAATAGGTGAGTGACGGAGGGCACAGCTACACCCGACAAGAAGACCTTAATACTACTTTTGCCAGTGAAGCCTCTTGGGAACGCTCTTCTGCTTCTAGTCAAGGAACATCAAGGCCGAACGAAAGAAAATACGGTGCAATTTGAACGTTACGAACCGGTGAGCCACGGCTAACTTGTATTAGTACATGAAATGTGAGGGTTTTGAAGTTATACAACCTGTTTGTCTTTTGACGAGACCAAATTTCATAGCATGTAATTTTGGATGTTGTAATCTCAAGTTATCAACTGAAATCAATATAGATCTCTTGCTCATTAATTTGTCATCTGCGACTTGGAAAGCCATTAGCAAAGTTGCTAGCGATATGCGAGCTATGATGGCATATGCTCATTTCTTTGAGGCCTGTAAGATGTCACTTGCAAATTTACAAATGAGGAATCAGATCCTTAAAGGGGTTGTTCTCCAACCCCGCCTATAATAATATCTTTTGTCATATTTGGATCGTCCAGATTAACCTAATATTCCCGTTATCATACTTGATTATAATTTAACTTTTCTATATGCCTCCGCACGCGTTTAACACACAACGACAATTTATTAATTAATATTGTAGATCCTGAAGTCAAAAAGCTACAAAATAAAGGAATCAATGTCAATTCATGGATAGTAGGGAAAAGAAAAAGAACAAGAAAGAAGACAGGAGATGAATATTAGGTGTAAAGAAATGTTGAAGGGCAGTCGCCTATCCAAGTGGACAACTCTCAGTTGTTGATACGTGGGGGGCGCATGAGCTTGCATCATTAAAATCCATACAATGAACATCTAGAAGGCCATTAAAATTCAATGTGAACGTTTAGGGGAAAGGGGAAAAAGTGCCCAAGTACGAAGGGTTCAACCCTAATTTTGTGGCTTGCTCTAAGATACCTTTACAGACATTGACAATATCAGAAGCTCTGAGTCATCTAGTTTAGTTTGGGTAACTATATACTCTGTCAAACATAGTAGTTGAGTCTGCTCCTACTCTCTCTTTATTGTCATCACAAAACAATTAACAAAATGTTGACCTGCTTTTGTCCCATATGGATTCAGTAGTCAATTGCAATGCTGTAATCCAATAACACATGGGATGGTGAAATTTTTGCTTAACATATTTGACAAGAATTACCCAACAAAATTTGGAGTTCATTTTGCAAGTTACACAAGGTTTTTTTTTTATAATTATTTTTATTTATACAAGCGATATTAGGAGAGGGGAGAATCGAACCTGGAATTGCATGTGCAGTGATAAATGTTCTTAACCATTTGAGCTAGTTTTAACTTGAGAAAAGAGTGTTAGAAGAACCCTGATGTAGAACTCTGGCCAAAGTTCAAATCTTCTTATTAATCTTCAATACATGGAAAATTACATTAATGGACCTTCCAAATGCTTAATAACATGTTATTCTAATTGGAATTTTCTGAGACCAGGATCTAAATGAAGGTGGGATATTGTTGTAATCAATTAATGTAAAGTGCTTAACTGATGATCTAAAGGCCCACTGTACTGATATTTTTTCTATGTCAAGGATGCTTGGATTATAAGCCAAAAAGGTTTGTTCTTCTATAATCAGCTGATTGAGCTTAGACCTTGTATTAACATGATGATTAGTGACCCCAAAGCATGAAAGCTTTGTACCAACTCCAACCTTCTCTTCTGATCCTGTCTATTGATGTAGCTACCGATAGTAAGTTACCAACTCCAGCTTCTCTGTACCTCACTCTTCAAAGTTGTGTACAGTCTCCTCTATAAATACTCCCTAAGCCATCCCAACATTCATCAAAGCAAGTCCTGGGGAGAGCTTTATTTTCAATTGACAATTTCAAGTCTTCTTCTTCTCTAGGGGTCTTACTAGACTTGAACTAAGAGTACCCACAAAAAAAAACATTATGGCTCAGTCTTTGAGCTTCCTTCTAGCTCTTTCTCTTCTTGCCTTTGTCCCACTTTGTTTATGTGATAAAACTCTTGGTGGGTATCTCTACCCACAGTTTTATGACCACTCTTGCCCTAGAGCAACAGAGATTGTAAAGTCTGTTGTTGCCAAGGCTGTTGCAAGAGAAGCTCGCATGGCTGCCTCTTTGCTTAGGCTGCATTTCCATGACTGCTTTGTACAGGTATCAGATTACAAAAATCAGCCGATTTGCTTCTAGTTAAATATTGTATCAAATCATTCTAATGCATCTCATTTGATAAATAAAAAAAGAAGTTATGTTAACATCTTATGATTGAGGTACTTAAAATCATGTTGCCAATTTTGAATGCTGCAGGGTTGTGATGCATCAGTTCTGTTGGACAGCAGCAAGAGCATAATCACCGAGAAAAGGTCTGTCCCGAACCAGAATTCAGCTCGAGGGTTCGAAGTAATCGATGAAATCAAGTCTGCATTAGAGAAAGAGTGCCCCAACACTGTGTCCTGTGCTGACATTTTGGCTCTTGCTGCTAGAGACTCCACTGAGCTAGTAAGTGTTACATTTTTAGCTTTGTAAGTTGCATGGTGTAAGAACCCAAGCCTAAATTCACATATGCTGACTATAAATTGTTGCTGCACATTGCAGTCTGGGGGGCCAAACTGGGAGGTTCCACTAGGAAGAAGAGATTCAAAAGGAGCAAGTTTAAGTGGCTCCAACAACAACATCCCTGCTCCAAACAACACCTTCCAAACTATTCTCACCAAGTTCAAGAGGCAAAATCTCAACATTGTTGATCTTGTGGCACTATCTGGTAACATTGCCAAAAAAAAGCAACATAGTTCTTCATTATTTACTAAAAATAAAATTTACCGAAAAAGCTAACATGCCCTGAGCTTTGTGTTTCTCAATCAGTTTTTTAATTTCCATTGATATGCAGGAAGCCACACCATTGGAAATGCCAGATGCACCTCATTCAGGCAGAGGCTTTACAACCAGTCAGGCAATGGCTTAGCTGACTTCACCCTTGACCAATCATATGCAGCACAGTTGAGAACCAGGTGCCCAAGATCTGGTGGAGACCAAACCCTGTTTTTCTTGGACTTTGTTAGCCCAACAAAGTTTGACAACAGCTACTTCAAGAACTTGTTGGCTTCCAAGGGCCTCCTGAACTCAGATGAAATTCTTATCACAAAGAGTCAAGTGACAAAGCAATTGGTTCAACAGTATGCTGAGAACACAGAGCTTTTCTTTGAGCAGTTTGCCAAGTCCATGGTTAAGATGGGAAATATTTCCCCACTTACAGGATCAAGGGGCGAGATCAGAAAGAGATGCAGGAAGATCAACTCAATCAATCGGACTGCATGATTTCAGGGCCACTAAAAGTTCATATGTAGTGTGTGTTTTTCTGCTTTTCCAAGTTATTTTTTTTCTCTCTTTCCCAAAATAAATTCTGATTGTAAAGCTTGATGTGGCTATTATATTGTAGACATCCAGTGATGCAAAATTAGTGCTTGTTGTGTTTTCATGGAACTTGTACTATTTTTCATCTTCAATAATCTTTAAAAGCTTCGATTTTAGTTAACATCAACAATCTACACCTTCGTTTTTTATTTATTCTTTGTAACACAATGCAATAATGAGTCTATTCACAAAGCTGAATTTGCTTTTAGTATTATCTCAAACCAGAATTACTAAGAGAATCTCCAAAGAATATGTCAAATTGTCAGGTTATTTTGACTCATCTTAATGTTCTTTTCGAAACAACAATGAATTATAGACTCAAATTAGAGCTCCGAGCCCAAACTTACAGAAGTTAAATTTTACTGTTTCTGAACTTATTAGGCATGTCAAACTGTACGATAATTTTACTATTTCTGAACTTATTAGGCATGTCAAACTGCTCCTCTATCGTACGTCTCTTATCATCTTTCTACGTACGTCATTTTATTGCACCTAATGAGGCTTTGGAGTTGGGACTAAGAATTGAGAGACATGAAGCCTACCTTTGATAATGATAATGCAGTCTGTCAAAAGATAGGAGAGAAGAGAAGTTGCTTTTTGCACAGATTCCTCAAGGCGTCCATTGGACAAAGTTTCAAGGTTTTATCTATCATCAACATTCCATCAGTGATCCTATAATCATAAAAAAATTTCACGTTCCCATCCAAAGAATTAGAATAATAATGGAGAAAAAAGTGAAGTTCTCGGAAGCATGACCGGAAGACAATCGTAGTGATTTTTCTAAAGACAGATCCTTGTCAACAAGTTTCCCTTCACCCTTAAGATGCTCCATTATTGGTGGTAACGTTAAAACATTACTTAGCTATGTAAAGTGTCGTTTGTGCTGCTTCTTTTAAGGCAACTATAGGGTAGGAGTAATAATAGCAAGGTGTTGCTTTCTTTGAACATAAAGTAATCTTCTCTAATGAATACAGGCCATAAGACAAAAATGACTTAATTTGCTCCAATAATGCATGGTAGAAAAACCAATAAGTGCGTATGACACGTTGTGCAAAGGAGTTTGAGTATGGTTCGAGGGTTTTCGACAGAGATCGAGCAAAACCTCAAGTGATTATATCTCTAAATCTTTAAATAAATAGAGAAAGAAACTAAAAAAATCTTTACTGTGCCACTAAAAAGTTTAGTTTTCCAAATTTTCTTAATAACCATGTAATCTAATATGTGAACATGCTATAATCTTAAAAACTAGGTATGAGTATTCTGATTAACTTGTTCCTCAAGTGATTATATCTCTAAATCTTTAAATAAATACAGAAAGAAAATAAAAAATCTTTACTGTGCCACTAAAAAGTTTAGTTTTCCAAATTTTCTTAATAACCATCTAATCTAATATGTGAACATGCTATAATATTAAAAATTAGGTATGGGTATTCTGATTACCTTGTTGGGTGTATTGTAAATAGAATTTCTCAAAAACCTTTGGGCCAAGCTAGGTTCAAGGCCCAATAAATGGATTTGGGCCCATCATCCATTTTTGTCCGAAGTTCACAGACCTTGGTGGAGGGCAACTTAAACCTTCGTCCCCGTATAGAGTTTATGCCTGCAAGCGGTCACTCACACTCGCGCCATACCAGTCACTCTCTTCTAAGCTTCAGAAGCCATGAAAGCACCAAGCTTATGCTAACCTAATCAGGACCACAATGCTCAGATAACATCTCCAATTGCCTGAAATCACACCCCCAACCCCAGAAAAATGAGATATTTACGGTTCATTTCCCCGCATTTTTCTCGTATTCACAAAACCCTAAACCCCCAAAGCCCTCCTCTATCCTCTCTCCAATCAAAGTCCCAGATTAGTTCTCATTTCGTGTGCAATTACACCACCGCTGCACCGGAGCAACGGCCACCTCCGTCCGAGACGGTATCGGCGATCGCGGATGAGATCTCGGCCCTGACTTTGCTCGAAGTCTCGGACCTCACGGAGGTTCTGAGGGAGAAATTGGGCATAAAGGAGATGCCAGTGATGGCGATGATGATGCCGGGGATGGGATTTGGCGGTTTGAAAGGCGCCGGCAAAGGTGGTCCGGCGGCGGCTAAAGGCGAGGAGAAGGTGGAGAAGACGGCTTTTGATGTAAAGCTCGATTCTTTTGATGCTGCAGTAAAGATCAAAGTGATTAAGGAGGTGAGGACGTTTACGAGTTTGGGGCTGAAGGAGGCCAAGGACTTGGTGGAGAAGGCGCCTACGCTGTTGAAGAAGGGGGTTACAAAGGAGGAGGCAGATTCGATTGTCGCGAAGATGAAGGAAGTTGGTGCCAAAGTTTCTATGGAGTGAGGTAATTTGGGAAATTTTTTGCTTATACGTTTTGTGAATTTGAATTTGATTGTGTGGTGTGGGTTGTAGTGTGTGTAGTTTAGTGAATGAGGTTGGCAACAGGAGCTAGCTCTCATTGTTTTTTGGGGTTTGTTAACTCAGAAAGTTTTCTAGTAATCTGGTTTAGAAATCCCTGTTTTGGTCAATATGATTAACAAAGATGTTGGGAATGGGGCACAAAGCACATTAATGAAAACTCCGAGCTAGTCTTAGGCATTTTGTTACTTATGTGTAAAGGTCACTGAAACTTCCGAGCTCCTATATAGGCACTATGAGTTTAGAGTCATGTCCTGTGTTCGGAGCTGCTAATCTAGGCACTATTTGGGGCTTTATAGCATGACATTGTTGGGGATGACTTGGAGGATGTCAGGGAAGAATCAGAAAGAAAATCTGTGTTTTAACTTGCAAACTAATATGAGTTGGTGGTTTGTGAGGTACATCATTGGCAGTGGCCTATTAAATGACTAATGGGCAGAAATATGCAATATTTCTATTTTAGTGTAGAATGATATTGATTGTCTGGCTGCAGCACACATAAATGTGTGAGCGGTTGTATATGCATCAGTTTTGCGGTTAAACTTGAGTATCACCTAAGTAGCCTCATCATTGTCAATGTTTTCTGGCAATCACCTTTGATAGCACTCGTTAGCATTGCACCGTTACCACATTTTCTTTCTTGTTCAATGCAGTTATGCAACTTGAATATCTGATGGTTTATATTTTTTGGTGACTTTCCAGGGGGAGAGAAGAATGTAGAAGTTCAACGTTCAGGTGGCAAATTGTTAAAAAATGTAGAGTAGCAAATTAGTGGTTCATCACACTGGATGTGCAATTGACATAGTCTCATAGAAGACTACTGGAGATCTTCATGATGCAAAGCAATCTTTAGTAGAACTGCTTTGCTTATCTTTCTTCGAGTTAGAATAATGTATTTGCGGAAGCTTTGTTTCATTTTTTTTTTTAAACAATCAATCCTTTCAGTTACTTCATTACTTTTACAAACCAACAGTTGTAGACCTAGCATTTTGATAATAGGTTCACAGAGTTGAGGTTTATGATATGTACTTTGCATGTTTCTCCAAACCAAAGATATTCCGACTGCCAAGAACATTTTTACAACTTGACCTTGATCCATGTCTACACCTCAAATTATAACCTGATCCAACCTAGAGAAATGCCATTGACTTTGTAGACCTTTTCATGCTGCAGTGAGCTCAACTTTGTCCTGTTCTTGAACAATGTCTGCAATCTGGCAACCTTCTCGAAGTGATCACAAAACAAGGCTTTTCAGTTTGGGCATTCCCGAACGCCCACAGGGTAACAACATCTTTGAACTTTAGGCCATGATGTCGAACAAAATATCGGCAATAAAGCTTATGATTTTTGCGAATTTTTGTGGTCATGAACAGCATACTGTGCTCATTATCAGCAATGTCTTACGTTGTGACCCAGATGCCTTGTGTAGGATCTTCATTACCATTCATCAATGGGAAGGCGTGTTCTTCTGCGTCACATTTCTTCATCTCTAATGAGAACATCGCATCAGATTTTGTCAAGTGTCTCTCAAAAGGCGTGCTGCATATTTGAATCAAGTGTTGGATGCTCGGGAGGAGGGACATACTTGCAAAATCCATGGCATGAACCTAATTCTAGTTCTGGCTGTTCTTGTGTTGCAATGGCTTGTTGGGATTGTTGGACTCGTGGAGCTGCATGTTCTTCAAATTGAATTGAGAGTTGGAGGCTCGGGATTGGTGGGAAATCACGAGGCACTTAGGTTCCAATTCCATGGAAAGATTCTAGTTCTAGTTGTTGTGGTAGTTGAGGCGTGCCTTGTGCTGCAGAAATGGCTTCTTGGGCTTGCAGGGCATATGAGGCTGCAGGTTCTTGAAATTGAATTGAGGGTTGGAAGCTTGGGAATGGTCGGAGATGACGATGAGGGACAGAGTTGTGAATTCCATAGTATGAACATAGCGCAATGGCTTCTTGGGCTTGCAGGACATGTGGAGAACAAGGTTCTTGAAATGGAATGAAGTGATGAGGAGGCACATAGTTTCCACAGAACCAACCTAGTCCTAGTTCCTGTAGTAGTATAGGCATGCCTTGTTGTGCTGCAATGGCTTCTTGGGCATGCAGGGCAGCAGGTTCTTGAAGGCTCGGGACTAGTGGGACAGCATAGTTTCCATAGAAGAAGGAACCTTGTTCTGGTTCTGGTTGTTCTTGTTCTTCTTGTTCTTCTTGTGTTGCAGCAATGGCTTCTGTGCCTAGTAAGAATGCTTCAAATTCTTGGATTTTCAATGCTAGTTGCTCATTTTCTTCTGCATGCCCATCTTCTTCCAACTCATCATCAGAATCCAAAAGCACGTGCTCTATGTAAGAAAGAGCTTTAGCCATGTGTTCATCATCATGATCATTAGCCATGCCTGGCCTGGTGCTGTTTCCTGAAGCCACTTTTATGGTTTTCTTTCATGAGCTTTCTCACAAGAGGAAGTCTTCTTGGGAGATTTTTTTTTGGAGAAATGGGAAATGGGAAATGTGAAACGGGAAGTGCTTTCTGTTTCGTCACCTGGGCTATATAGATATCTTTCGAGAAAAATTGAACCCAATTTCATTTAGCTTTGGCAATGCAATTGGAACCCTCGTTGGTGTCTAACTAACAAATTGGTTTTGATGCAAAAATAAATAAAATAAAGTAGAGTAAACAGTAACACCGTAAAATCCCATCCACTAAACGAGATACGATGAGTCAAAATCTAAACACTTACAAACGACGCCTTCCCCGACCTGACCATTTTCCTGAAGTTGGCGCTACAAGAACATTTTGCAAAGGTGGTCATTTTTTCATTTGGCTATCAAGTAGTTCATAGAAGATAGGACAGGACCGGATTATAATTGTCATCAAGTTTGCTTTGCTTTGCTTTAATTTGATAACTTTTGATCAGAAAGATGAGCCAAATTATGATATATCTTGCATATATGTCCAGTCAACCCAGAGCTTCACCACCATTACAAATACCAAACCAGAAAGCTTCCTGTTTCAAGGGAATTTGCAATAACTATCACTTCAATGCATGTGCTCACTCACCTGTCTGTGACATGTCTGTTTTAAATTTAGAGAATTTTTCTTCTATGTGCTTATGTTCATAACTTTTTTCTGTCTTTTCAAAATCATATTTCAGATGCCTTAAGAACCATAATGGGAAGAGTGGGCTGCGCTTTATAAAGATGTTCTCTCCAGTCTTTTTCAGGTATGTTATTGTTTATGAGCTCAGCATACACACATTCCTTGTGCTTGTTCATCTGCGGTTCTGCTCCATATGTGGGTTTAATAACACAGCATTTCAACTCTACCTAGTAGTGTGTTGTAGGATTATTGAAGCAGTGTATATACTAGCATATTTCAGAAATGGGCAGCTATCTTGTTAATTCACTATTCACTACGTTTTTATTTCATGTCTTCGACACTTGTTTTCACGGGGGAATTTTCGTTTAGTTTCTTTGTCCACTTTTTTATGTCATCACCTGGAGAATTTGGAATTCTTGCTTTATTAAATTTACTTACTTGAGCATATTAAATTCATGAAGATATTCATCTGTGAGAAGTCTTAAGTGTTTTCACAGCTACTGTAGTGTAGATCATCATTTGTTGAAACTTGAATGGTAATTTACGTCTCGTTGCTTTTTGGTTACATCTGTTCAAGTTTAAGAGTCTGCTAATCAGACCTTGGATTGAGACTCATTAGGCAAATTAACCAGTCTGATTACGAGGTCTCATGGTCTATTTCTTTTGGCACAGAATTCAGTTGACTGTGCAGCTTTGGGGGCATCATCTAAAATCTGGTTTGATTGATAATGAACGTTATAAGAGATCAAGTAGCTACTCTTCTATCATATCCATTCTGAACCAAAGGAATACCAACTGCCAGGAACATTTTTACATCTTGGACTTGATCCATATGTATATACAATACACCTCAAATCACAACTTGATCCAACTTAGAGAAATGTCATTGACTTTGTTGACCTTTTCATGCTGCAGTCCATATCTCAACTCTGTCTTGGTCTTGAACAATGTCTGAGTTTTAAAAAAAGGGCAGCCTTCCCGAAGTGATCACAAAACATAGCATTCCTGAACGCCTACAGGGTTGTTGAGATATCACCGAAATCCCTATAGTTTAGGTTGATTGATTTACAATTGATTCTTGTATAAGATCTTCATCGCCATTCAACAATGGCCAGACGTGCCTTTCTACGTCACATTTCATCAGCTTTAATGCTTGTGTTGTCACATCATAGTTTGACAAGAACTTCTGAAAAGGCTTGCTGCATATTTGAATCAAGTTTCGGAGGCTTGGGACTGGTGGGAGAGCAGGAGGGACATAGTTGCCAGTTCCATCGAATGAACCCAGTTCTAGTTCTGGTTGTTCTTGAAATTGAATTAAGCGTTGGAGACTCGGGATTGCTGGGAAATCACGAGGCACATAGGTTCCAATTCGGGGGAAAGATCCTAGTTCTAGTTGTTGTGGTAGTTGAGGCATGCCTTGTGCTGCAGCAATGGCTTCTTGGGCTTGCAGGGCATGTGAGGCTGCAGGTTCTTGAAATTGAATTGAGGGTTGGAAGCTTGGGAATGGTGGGAGATGATGATGAGGGACAAAGTTGTGAATTCCATAGTATGAACCTAGTGCAATGGCTTCTTGGGCTTGCAGGACATGTGGAGAACAAGGTCCTTGAAATGGAATGAAGTGATGAGGAGGTACGTAGTTTCCACGGAACCAATCTAGTCCTAGTTCCTGTAGTAGTATAGGCATGCCTTGTTGTGCTGCAATGGCTTCTTGGGCATGCAGGGCAGCAGGTTCTTGAAATTGTAATCACCGAATCAAAACACTTCCAAAACGACACCGTATCCAACCTTCCACTTGAAACGACGCCGTCTTTCGCTTCTGACAGCACTCAAGACAAGACTCAGAGGCAAAGCCCACCTAAGTAGTCGTTCATTATATAACGCCGTCGTTTTAGGATTTCAAATCGAAACCGCCAGGTCTTGTACCGGTAAGCGATTGCAGAGAAAAGTCTGAACGCAGAGCACAAGGCAACAGTGGTGGTTTAAGACCTGCCGGCTGCCGCTGTAGTCGGAAGCATCAAGCTTTTGAATCTGCCGTGAAATTCAAATGTCGTCGGCGTCGCAGTGGCAGTGGGAAACTGCCACCGCCGGCGCCGTCGCCGGGTTCGCCACTGTCGCGGCGATGCATCCTCTAGACGTTGTCCGTACGAGATTTCAAGTCCACGATGGTCGAGTCTCCAATCTTCCAAATTACAAGAACACGGCTCACGCCATTTTAACCATTGCTCGATTGGAGGTATATGCATATATCCTCGGTTCACATTGTCAAAACCCACCTTAGGGTTTTTGTTGTTGGTGATGATTTGGTTCACATTGCTTTGTCTTGCAGGGCTTGGGAGGACTCTATGCAGGCTTTTCTCCTGCTGTTCTTGGTTCCACTGTTTCATGGGGCTTATATTTCTTCTTGTAAGTAACAATGTATGGGCTTTTAGAATATATGCCTTCAGCTCCAGTGTAAATTGAATTTTTTTACTTGATGAATGTTCCTGCCACGCATACCAATGGATTCTATCTTCGCAATGCAGTTGTAATTGGGTTTTTTTCATTTGGATTAAACAAAATCTCTGTATTATGTAGCTATGGAAGAGCGAAACAAAGGTATTCTAAAAATAGGGATGAGCAGCTGAGCCCTGGTCTTCATCTCGCTTCTGCAGCAGAAGCTGGAGCTTTGGTGAGTATTCTGCAAACGTTGATTGAAAAGACATTAATCGATTTTTTTTTTCTTCTGAAACTGTTATCTGATCCTGGTGGTCGGTTTTATTTGCATATGGCACAGACATGATTCCCGCACTCTGCATCCTTAGGTTTCCAATTTTTTGTACTTTGAAATCAAGACACTTGTTGAAAATTTTAACGAAAATATCTGGTTAGTTAAAAGAATCCTTGAATATACCAGACTCCCAGTTGAAGGTTAGCACCTTCCTGAATTTGGTGCTATAAGTACATTGTTCTGAAGGTGGTCATTTTTGTCATTTGGCAAGTGTTTAGAGGAATATAACTCCATTTTCTGTTCCCTTCTAATATTTTTAGAAGGTAGGCAGGATTTTAGCACATGGTTACCTATAGATGATAGCAACCTTGTGATTTTGTCAGGTTTCTTTGTGCACAAATCCTATTTGGCTTGTAAAAACAAGATTGCAGCTTCAGACTCCTCTTCATCAAACTCAACCATATTCTGGGTTTTATGGTCTGCTCCATATCTTACTTTAACTTGATAGTGATGCCTGCAATTAGTTTTTTTCATGCTAAATATTACTTATTTGTTTATTTATTTAGTTTGTGCTGAAGATAAACTATCCCTGATGTAGACTTCTAGAATTTGACTCTTTTATAAGATTGGTTTGCTTGGTTATCAAGTAGTTCATAGAAGATAGGACAGGATTATAATTGTCATGAAGTTTGCTTTGCTTTAATTATATATTTTTATCAAAAGCCAATAAATATATCAAGCATACGTGTTCAGTCAACCCCAAACTTCACCACCATGACAAATACCAAACTAGAAAACTTCCTGGTTCCAGGGAGTTTGCAAAAGCTATCACTTAAATGCATTTGCTCAATCACCTTTGACATGTCTATTTCAGAGAATTTTTCTTCTATGTCCTTATGTTCATAACTTGTTTTTTCTTTTTCTTTTTAATCATATTTCAGATGCCTTAAGAACTATAGTGAGAGAGGAAGGGTGGGCTGCGCTTTATAAAGGTCTTCTTCCCAGTCTTTTTCTGGTATGTTGTTGTCTATGAGCTTTTTCTATGGTGGTCTGTCTTTGTTTTCTTGCACAGATGTACAGTATAATATTTAAAGATCAGAAAATAATGACTCTCTCTCTCTCTCTCTCTCTCTCTCTCTCTCTCTCTCTTAATCATATGAAACAATCAATATGGGTATGTCACTTTATCTACAACTAACAACAAAAATATTTGGTTTTCCTTAATCATTTTTAAGAGTTGTACAGAGGATTTGGGGTTTACTGTGTTTTCTTCCCATGGACACTTAAGAGCCTCTGTGTACAGCTTCTAACCATCACTAAAAGAATACCATGGTCATGATTTGTGATGTTATTCAAAGATTTTGGACACTTAGAGTTAATCCATGTAAAAGGAAACTGAAGAAAATTGCGAAAAATTTGTAGTGGGAAAATAAGGTGGGGTGTCTTACATATCTGATGATATACACTGCTGAGTGGCGAGATGGAAATGCTTCTGGAGATTATTGTGTACTTCTACACTTAATTGCATTTGAAGATTATAAGTACATTATATTATACACATGCATCACTAATGCCAAAAATCTGTTAGCCTTTCATGCTTCACAACTTTGCAGCTTACAGATCTTCGTGTTGTTTCAGCAGGTATCTCATGGTGCTATTCAATTCACAGCATATGAAGAACTCCGTAAAGTAGTTGTTGACTTCAAGTCTAAAAAAAGCAGAAGGCATTCTGGAAGTGCTGATTCAGTGTTGGTAATTCTCTGTTCATGCAGTTAATGTTCTGTAGTAATGGACCTATTTTAATCCATAGATCTTCTTGTTCTGGAATTCTTAATCTACATTCCCATTTCACATATAGTTCAATACAGAGGTCCCTTTTGGTAGTTGGTAAATTTATTCTCTAGTCAATTGTCTAGTATTCACTGCACCAAATGAAGAATCCCAGGTTGGTGCGGAAATGTGATTTGGTAATTGGTGTACAAATTTTTGTATATGTACGTATGGGCTTGTAGATGTTTGGCAATAACATGAATCAGATTATAGTACGTCTCTTCTTCTCACTATGCCTGTTTTTTGTTCATGATTGAGGAAACACACATACATTCATTGTGCCTGATCATCTACTACATATATGGGGTTAATAACACAGCATGTTAACTCTACCTAGTGGTGAGGTGTAGGATTATTATAGAAGCACGTATACTATATATTTTACTAATGGGAATCAATCTTATCAATTCACTGTCATTTTAATTTCTTTTCTTCTATACTTACTTTCATGGGGGAACCGTCGTTTAGTTTTTTTGTCCACTTTATTTTACCTGAAGAATATGGAACCTTTGCCATATTGAATTTACTTGTGGGAGGATATCAAATTCATGAAGATGCATCTGGGAGAAGTCTAGGTGTTTACACAGCTACTATAATGTAGATCATCTTTTGTTGTATGGTAATCTACGTTTTGTTGCTCTTTTGTTCCATCTGTTCAAGTTTAAGGGTGTGCAAATCAGGTCTTGGATTGAGCTCATAAGGAAAATTAACCAGCCTGGTTGCGAGGTCTTATTGTCTATTGTTTTTTGCACAGAATTCAGTTGACTATGCAGCTTTGGGGGCATCATCTAAAGTTGCTGCCATTCTTCTATCATATCCATTCCAGGCATGCATAAATATATATTTTTGGCATTGATGTAAAATTCTTCTAGATGTTCATTTCATTTGTAGATTATTACTTATGTGGTTGTGATGACTTTTTTCTCTCTTTTCTTTTTTCAGGTGATGCGATCTCGATTGCAGGTATATCCATAATGTTTTCTCTATATATGGTCTCAATATATAGAAGTTTCCCCAGTCTGAAACAGTCCGAGCTTTTATTACTAAAACCCTTCAGCATAACTTTTGAGATTCTACATGTTTTATGGATTTTGCTTGTATTCCTTATTAATGAGATTTTTCTCATTTTGTCAGCAACGACCTAGCAGTGAAGGAATTCCAAGATATATGGATAGCTGGCATGTGATAAGGGAAACTGTACGGTAAGTACGAAATTTAGCTTTCATATGACGCAAATATCTGGAAATAATTTCTTTATGCAAATCTCTATCTGATTCGATTGGTAATGAATGTTACAAGAGATCAGGTAGCCAGATGGCCTTTCCTTCCATGATATATATCCCCTTCGATTTTTCTTTTTCTTTCTTGTCTTAGGATGCTAACCTTTCCTTCTTTGTTGGGGCTGTAGGTTTGAGGGCGTTAGAGGTTTCTACAAGGGAATCACCCCAAATCTTCTGAAAAATGTTCCTGCTGCTTCAATAACATTTATTGTATACGAAAATGTACTGAAATTTCTAAAATTTGCTAGAACGAATGAGTAAGGTCTCCTTTTGATCCTCAATTTTGAGCACTTGTTCTAGCTACAACAACGACATTATTTGAGGTTGGAAATGTGGTAATAAGATGTGTTGAAAGGTATATTCAACAAAGCATTTCAGTTGTGAAAAAGAGGAAATACAAAACTCATTCAAAGTGGAGGAAAGTCCTATTATGTCGAAAATTTGCACAGGAAGGAAAGAATTTCGTTGGAGACTTCTTGAGCCTTCTCTTGGTGGATAAAATGGTGGCCATCTAAAATCACGACTTCCAGGTCTGGCACAAGACTCTTGAGAACACTTCCTTTCACATATTCCCTTGTGCCCAGAATTTCAAAGCCAATGTCTTTGTCACCTACAATCAACTTTGCTGGAACACTTATCTTTGATCCTTGCCATGGTCCCATGAGCTCCCAGTACCTGTTTCCCATTTTCAAAATTAACAGATGTAAAAGATTAGCCAACTTACATCAATAAAGCTCCTGAAAGCAAGACAAATCAAATTGGGATTTTCTTAAAATTCAAAAGGCATTTGAATATTCTTCGCAGTTGACTTGTCAATTAAGCTAGCTAACAACCCACCCCACCCCCAAACCAAACCGCGTAGAAAAATTTGTGCAGGTAAACTATAAATTCTTCAATTTGTTAAAGCTGATACGATATGATATGATCCTATTTCTACATTTTTTATGGCCAAAATCCAAATAAAATTGGGGGAATTTTGGGTTGTTAGTTGGTGTGTCGACAGACACTGTACTTACAGCTCAATTGTACGGAAATAATTGAGGGCACCAGTGAAGCCAGATTCTTCGAACTTTTCAGCATAGACTTGGAGGTCCTCCTCAGAAATCCATGGTGGCAACACAGCTGGTGTCTCCAAATAATCAATGATCTCCATTCCAGGAGGAGATACCAAATAATCTGTCTTGTTGTACAGCAAGAATTTCTTCATCACTGTCAAATAATCATATCTTGCAAACGACTTTTCTGCTCTTCCTGGTTCCTACCACCATACACAAATTACAAATACAATTACACAAACACATAACACAATTGCTAAGTGGAAGAACATATTCATGTCTTGACTAAAAAAGAACCTGAAACTGATAAACGTAACACCCGTCACCAAAAATTCGCCTCACAGATTCAGAATCCCTGGTGCTTGAAGATCTTTCAAAGTATGGAGCAGATAATGCAATCAGGGCCTTGACTCTGTCAGGCCTGAACAGGCTCAGATGCCAAGCTGCAACGGCTCCAAAGTCATGTCCCACTACAAATGACTTTCAAATAAGAGAGACAAACAATCAAAACAGTCACTAGAAAATAAAACACGGAAGAAGAAAACAGGAAAGCAAGAAAAAAAACCTTTTGTTCACCAAAATGATCAAGAATGCCAATAAGGTCTCCAACAAGGTGTTGAATAGAGTAGGAGGTAGGACTCAGAGGAGAGTCAGTGTCACCATAGCCTCTCATATCAGGAGCAACAACATGGTAGCCATGCTTAGCCAAGTAACCAATCTGGTGGCGCCACGAATACCATATTTCGGGGAAGCCATGGAGGAGAAGCACAAGAGGGCCTGTCCCTTGCTCTGCTATGTGCATCCATATCCCATTTGTCTTGATCCTTTGGTGAGTCACCTCATTCATGTTCTCTTCTCTTCAAATCTCAGAAAATAAAATAAAAATAAAACCAACTGGTGTGCTTAATGGTGTGAATGGACTGGCTTTTTATAGCTCAATTATATATGTGTAATTAATATGAGGAAAATGATTTGGCGACTCTCTGAATTTCAAACAGTCAAAGATGAGAACTTTGAAGCAGACCAAAGGTGAGAGTAACGTATCAAATTCTCCAAAGCTATTCATGGTGCAGAAAGGTACAATTTTCTTGACCTGATTGCTGTTCTTATTTGCTCGATGGTCTCAATTAACTTTTATTGGTCTTCTCTACTTCTTAGTTTTCATGTACTTGTTGACAATTCCCGTGGTTCCACAGGAAACTAAATATCAGTGCTTGACAGTCTCCTCTTGATTATTTTCCTGGAAACTACCATCTACCATTATTTTTATTTTCTTCTTTTTTGGTGTGAAATTGTTATAGTATATGGCTGCCTGCTTGTCTGGTTTCGTATGTTACTATTGCAACCCATCTTGTGCTATCTTTCCGTCTGCGTTTGGTTAAACTATTTGTAAAAACAAAATTGTGTAGGTGTAGAATTATCTTTCAAAAGTTTGTAGTATTTTAAGTACAAATTAACAGAAGGATTTGGTTGTATTGAACTGCAGCCAAGAAATATGAACTATTTTCTTTGTCTCAATCTATGAATTTTTTGGCTTTCGTTACGGAACAAGGCCTATACCCTTCCCCAAATCAACAAGCTTGAATGCAGCCAACTTACAATTAACAAAATCTTTGGTTATGATCATGTCACTGATAAATTTAAAATTTTCCAAAACTTATTTTACAAATCCAGGTGGTAGTTAATTTGGCATGCCAAGTGTAATTCCCCATATCAAAGAGGCTATCACATTAGGTTATAAACAGAATTTCTAAATGCCTTAAGAAGAAGAAAGAACAAACCCAAAGCACAGAAAATCATCCAACCCTGATACAGAACAAAGAAAATGATGGTTCTAATTGAACCCCATATTGGTTCAATGTACCCCACAAACCATTTGGGATTTATTCAGAAGCACACTAAACAATTTCATTGATCTACAGGATGTTCACGCAGGAAGGAAAGTATTTGGCTGGAGACTTCTTGAGGGTTCTCTTGCTCTATGAAATGGTGGCCGCCTATAACAACCACTTCAAGGTTGGGGACAAGACTCCTGAAATCATCACCTAGCACATATTCACTTCTTCCATCTGACTTAAAGCCGAAATCTTTGTCACCAATCATGAACTTCACAGGTACCGTAATTTTCGATCCTTGCCAGGGTGCAAGAAGCTCCCAACTCCTGTTTATCACAATCACTCGTATCAGTCAACAAAACAAAAGGACCAAAAGGTACTGCAGACCAACATGGGTGAGTTGGTCTGTTGTATTGGCCAAAGCCTGCACGGGTGAGCTGGCTGCATTTTCCTTAATAGAAGGCTTTTCTTTCCTTTACCTTGTATTTTATTCTGGCTGAAGGCAGGGAAGAGACTTGGGATTCAATTTCATGTGTTATCAAAGTGAAATGGGGTTATTATCCTTATCCTATATGTTAATAAAATAAAAGCTTGTGATTAATTAAGTATATTAGAACTGGAACAGAATAAGTATCTTTGCATATGATGGTTGTACCTAAGGCCTAGCTTGGAAAGAGCATCTTTCCAGAAAGGAAGAACCAAGTAAATTTTCTACACACTTACAAGTCCATTGCACGATAGTAGTTAAAAGGACCAGTGAATCCAGATTCCTCAAATTTTTCAGCGAAGACCCGGATATCCTCTTCAGTTAGCCATGCTGGCAATGCTGATTTTGTGTCCAGGAAATCAATAAATTCCATGTCCGGAGGAGCTATCATGTTGTCGGTTATTCCTGGTTCCTTCTCAGCCAAGAAACCATAACTAAAAGTGACACACACATACACATATACATATGCATACAAGAATTGTGGAGAGAAATTAAGGAGGTACCTGGAATTGAATGACATGAGTTCCATCTCCATACAATTCTCTGATTGCTTCTGTAGTTTTAGTTGTTGGAGATCTTGGAAAGTATGGAACAGATAGATTTACCAGCCCTATCACTCTATCAGGCCTAAACAAGCTCAAATGCCACCCAGCAACCGCTCCCCAGTCATGCCCCACAACATATGCCTTCTCAAACCACAAAACATATAAGAATGTCAAAGAATCCTTAAACACCTCACTGAAACATAAATCATGACATGAACATGTTCATAAAAATTCATAAACAGAACAGTTTTATAAACTTTTTGTTTAATTGGGGTTGGACAAATGCTTCTCACCTTCTGTTGACCAAAATGGTCAAGTAGGCCGACAAGGTCTCCAACTATGTGTAAAATGGTGTAGGAGTTGGGGTTGAGAGGAGAGTCAGAGTCACCATAGCCTCTCAAGTCAGGCGCCACCACATGGTAGCCATTCTCGGCCAAGTGGTTGATCTGGTGGCGCCAAGCATACCAGAGTTCTGGGAAGCCATGAAGCAAGAGAACAAGAGGACCTGTTCCTTTTTCTGCTACATGCAGCCAAATTCCATTGGTTTTGATCCTCTGGTGATTTACTTCAATCATGTAATCCATGATCTCTGTACAAGTCCTCAAGTCTCACACAGAGAGAGAGAGAGAGAGAGAGGTATGTTCAATGGCCGGCGGTGATGATCAAGGTGCTCTGTATATAATTTAATTAATGTACGTTGAATAAAAAGGATGGTGTAGTTGGTGGATTTGGGGGCAATAATAGTCAAAGATGATAAACATCGTATTAGACTCTGGATCAATTTGACCAAAAAAGACTCTGGATCAAGGTGCTTTGTACATCACTCAAAAACTTTAGTCAACAATTATTTTATATTTTATCTCTTAAAATATCAACCCAGCCCATCAATACTTAACCAAGCCCAAGATAAACAGCCCAGCTCAGCCCATTTTGAGGAGCAATCCCTACAATGTTCTAGAAGCACCAGAAGTCTGGAGAACAAAGTGATAATGTCAGCTGGACCCAAAAAAAGTGATAATGTCAGTTACCACTAGAAATATACAGATGTTGTAAATGATGGATAGGTTGAAAATGAGGAGTAATATTGAGTGAGGTATCATGTTTTACAAGAAGTTGAAGACTAAGACTACAGTTATAGTGGTGCTAATTTGAAAGGGAGAATGAACATTTTAAACCACTTATTCGCTATACTACGTGCCCATATTTCAATACTGCACAATAATTTCTCTTTGCTTTATGTATCTCTGCATTTTCCCCCTAGGTGGAACTTTTATGAGTTAGTCTAGCACATGAGAGCAAAACCTATTTCTTCTAAATAATCAAATTGTTACAGGGTTGGAAATTCAGCTAAGATTCAACTCAAAATGAACATCCGGCCAATTGCCTTGCAACGTACCATCACAAGTTCGTCTTCTCTATCAGGCTGCAGCAACAAGAAATGGCGTTCCTTAATCTTGTTAAGGAAATAGTCTCAGTAATATTTAAGAAAGAGCCTAACTTGCGAATATCGAATAGCTCTGTCAATAACCGGAGAGCCAATACTTCATGTAATTAACCATGCTTTACAGACAAGTTGAATGTTCTTAATTAACCCTAGAAAAACACTCATTATTTTGCTTTGATTTCTATGTGCATACGAAGATTCAGAAGAGTTTAAGATTGTTTCTGTCCCAAAATTTTCACATACTGTGGCTGGATTTTTTTTTTTTTTTGGCTAAGGAATTAAACACATTGAACACCAAGGAAATTAATAAAGCAATACTGCAAAAACTTTTTATTAAAGTGAAAACAGTTTTCATCACCATCCAAAAAAGTGCCTCAATGACTACTTGTAGAGCAACTCAACTAGGAAAAGTTCAAAATCTATCTCCAAACAAATACAATTATTTACTGC